GATTTTTTTTTATACTTTTACTACAAGCAAAGTGATAATGTCACTAATACACAAAAAAAGTTACTCAGTGTATAGCATTATGAGAAATCGAAAAATATTAAGAAAACTTTCGTGTGTATTCTCCAAACGTGCCTTCTTGTTTTCAGATTTATAACTACTGCAAGACAACTCGATTTATTTGGCAAATAGATTGTGCTGGTATATAGTGTTTCACTAAATAAAAACCTGTGCATCGCTTGCAATGCGCTGAGAGTACAAATCATACATTATACTACGCTCTGTAGAGCACATATAAGGCAAAAGTTTTAATCATTTCAATACAGTGAAAAAATAGATGTATTTGAAACCTTACATTATCAGCCAAGTATCCTGAGATTATAAATGATGCACAAAATAATAGAATAGGCCTTTCTTCAGACGTCTTGCTCAATAGTAGACTCTTTTCTTAAGCATCTTTAGTTTTACAGCTCTTTTAAAATTATGGCTCATGTGCACCACCTACGATGCACGGACCTGGAAAAGTGTTAAGGAGACTGTTGTAACCGAGAAAAGGTTACTGAATAATACAATACTCGCCAGTGGCGTGAAATAGTTAAACCACTGCTAGTAATGGACTAATTAGTGTATTTCCCTCACTTACAATAGTCTCAAACGTATTTATGAGGATTGGGACATACGCCTTAGTGTTCATAGGTACGGTATATAACACTATATCAGTCTGTTCACATCTATCTCGTTTTGGTTCTATTTATCTATATCAGTTTGTTCATATCTATCTATCTATCTATCTATCTATCTATCTATCTATCTATCTATCTATCTATCTTGGTCTGTTTCTTTTTATCCATTTCTATTTCATCTATCTATCTATCTATCTATCTCTATCTTTCTTTCTATCTATCTATCTTTCTATCTATCTCGGTCTGTTTCTTTCTCTTCCTATCTATCTATCTATCTATCTATCTATCTATCTATCTATCCTATCTATCTATCTATCTATCTATCATCTATCTATCTATCTATCATCTATCTATCTATCTATCTCGGTCTGTCTATCTATCTATCTATCTATCTATCCTCTATCTGTTTGTTTCTTTCATCTATCTATCTATCTATCTATCTATCTATCTATCTATCTATCTATCTATTATAACGAAGAAAAGATTACTGAATGAGGAATAACCAAAGTGGAGGTTGGAAATGAAATGGTAATCTTTATAACATACTCGCCAGCGGCGTGAACTAGGTAAACCACTACTAGTGGTGAACTACTTAGACAGTATATTACCCCCACTTACACTACTGTCCATTTATGAGGATTGCGACATACCCATTATGTTCAGAGGTACGGTATATAACAAAGAGAGAAAATCGAAATTTAATGGAAACCAAGAAACCAGATGAGAGTTCCCCAAGCGAGAAGTGTGAGAAAAGAAACAGTTAGCATAGAACTTAATGGTCACTTCTAGCTAATTCAACTGCAAAATAATGGGACCTAACTGCCAATCTAGTACAATTAAATTAATAACGTAGATGTGGCAAGGGGGGAAGCTCATCAGTAAAATTACCCTGAAAATATTTATAGAAAATGTATTAGGAAAATGCTTGAAGCCGAGATGCCAGGTCAGGATCAATAACATTGTAAACTTTTTCTTTGGATTTTGTTAAGAGTATTTTAGATATATAGCAAATGCAGCAGACCCCATGTGACAGCAATATTTAATGCAAGGGCGAATGTTAGATTTATAAAGGTGCAAGATAGATTCTGTCGAATTGAATGAAGCAACACAGAGAAACCAGTTTCCTAGCAGCTGACCTAACAACGGATCCAATATAATCCTTCCATATCATGTCAATGGAAAAAGTCAATCCGTCAGCTCATGCTGATGGATATCATCTAGTTCTTATTTCATAGGTCATTTATTGCTCATCCGTTTCTGTTGAGTGCAAGTATACACTCCCTGACCATGGGCTTGAACCCACAACCGTATTACGAAATTTACAAATCAACGATTTCAACTATTTGGTCATTGTCCCGACATAATCTGTGGAATGAGAACAGTCTAACTCCGTATATTATACAAAAAGGTTCAGTTCAGAATTCTCTGTAGGTTACACAGATTGATATCCACTTGAGGAAGGCCGGGGGGGCGGACAACAGCCGGAATGTTGTGATGACAACAACAAAGATGAGGATAATAGTTCGAATATAATTATTGTAAATAATCAAAACTCCACGTCCCAAAAATTCAAAGTTGATACAGTTTTGAATTTACGTAAACAATTTCTGTCGAATAGTTCCATTCTTGTAAAAATAACATCTTTGAAATAGTTGATAAACAAATCAATCTTTTGAAATCAATTAAAGTATCCAATGTAACAAGCAAAATGGAGGAAGCCATTTTATTATTCATTATTCACTGTTGTTCACAGTAAATTTGTTGTTCCTATTGACAAAGCCACCAACAGCAACTTCTCGGGAGCACCTCTTTGCGGCTGCTCGGTCTCACATTGTATGCTGACTTAATATGGAACAAATACATTGAGTCAATTGCTTCGTCCACCGCAAGGAAAGTTGGCTCCCTGTGGCGCGCCAGGAACGTTTTCTCCCCGGAATCGATCCTTCAAATCTACCATTCGCCCTTGCATGGAGTATTGCTGCCATATATGGTCTGAAGCCCTTTCTGTTTGCCTCGGGATTCTTGATAAGATCCAGAGACGGATATGCAATATAATTGGCCTTAATCTGGCATCTCGTCTAGAGTCGCTCTCTCACAAATGTGCCGTCGCCTCCCTCTGTCCTTTTTACAAATAATTTCATGTGAATTGCTCCGATGAGCTGCTCTCGCTGGTTCCCAGGCTTCATGAATTCAAGCGTCCCACGAGGCTGACATCCCGCTCTCACTCTTTCACTGTTGAAACTGTTAAATGTAGCCGTCTCTTCTACTCCAATAGCTTCATGTCTCGCACCCCTCGCCTGTGGAACTCCTTTCCTTTTTCCTGTTTCCCTGATAGCTATAATCTCCAACTATTCAAATGTAATGCCAATCGAGATCTCCAGTTGTCTTCATCTACCCACTATCCTTCTCTTCACCCTTTCCTCTATCACTCCTATCTGTTCTCGCTCTAAATCCTATGTAATCTCTTGCGTGCTAGTGGCTTCCAGCCTTGCTTGGGGTGAAATGCTTATAAAAAACAAAAATAAAAGCATCGCTCTTATCTGGGAGAGATTCTACATTCAGAGGTTAATTGATTTAAGTTAATATTCCCGGAGATAATCTTTCAAAATATCTAGATCCGGTTGTTATCATTTACAACAATAGTTTCTTGGTGATAATTTAGGATCAAAAATTGAAGATAATACTTGAAACCCCGCCTTTCACGAACGGGATTGGCAAAATGCGCTATCCGGCAAAAGATTTATAAATGCATCAAGTACTTGTCGCAGAAACATCTCCCAGTTAGGATGTATCCTTGATTTACAAGTGAACTATTCCTATGTAAAGAGCACCTTTTATAGCAATGACAGCCGATCTTCTGCGACGGAAAAGTCTTCGATATTTGCCAGTCTTTCTAAAATAAGGAATATGCAGGAAGATTGAACCTGTACCACAATAACACTAACATCCGATTCTGTTGTCATGGGCCAATATTAATAAAACAGGGGTTATTTTCGGAATCTCTTTCTCATGTCCTCTCTCTTTCACACACACACACACACACACACACACACACACACACACACACACACACACATCTCACTGCGCCTTCTAGGTCTCATGTTTTCAACTGACTTGAAGTGGAACAGCTACACTGAATCAATTGCTGCATCTACGGAAAGGAAAGTTGGTTCACTGTGTCGTACCAGAAGTTTTTTTTTCGTCAGAGTCCATCTTGCACATTTACATATCTACCATTCGTCTTGGATAATGTTGCCATACCGGGCTGGTGTTCCTGCTATTAATCTCGAGGTTCTTAACAAAATCCAAAGAAGGATCTGCAATGTAATCGATTCTGACTTGGCATCTCGACTTCAGTCACTTTCTCACAGTAATATATTATATATAATATTTATGCTCTGTGAATTTACATTGACCATTTTTTTATAAAAATATCAATAAGAACAACGGATTATATATCTTACTGTTCTTTCTTTTATATATATATATATATATATATATATATATATATATATATAAAAATAAATAAATTAAAAAAAATAATAGTAGTTCATCGTGTCTAGAAGAATCCTCAACAGAATGCAGAAAATACTGAACAGCTGCTCCGTCCTATTTGGGGCTCATCAGCAATGCGGATCCACTACCAGGACTCGAACCCGGACCGTTACCACGTAAACGTCATACCACTGGACCAACTAGACATTTTGTACCGCACCGTAACGTAAGTTGCATATTGTGACACAGAAGGAAAATATGTTGTGGCTTCCCTCTGTCTTTTCTACAAATATTTTCATAGTAATTACTCTGACAAACATTTTCTCCCTGCTACTCCGTCTACATGAGTGGATGTGTGCCACTTGATTGGCATCTAGGTTCCCCAATTTACTGTTGAAATAGTTAAATGTAATTCCGTTCCCTTGCTTCCCTGATAACTGCAAATCTACAAAGATTTAAATTCAACGTCAATCGGCATCTTCCGGCGTCTTGACTTGAACCCAGTTAATCTTTTATCTTTTTCTCAATCCTCCCTTATACACAGTCTTTTCTCTCACTTTCACTCTTTGTAATCCTCTGCGTACTAGTGACACTCCCACCTTGCCTGGGTTGAAATGATATATATATATATATATATATATATATATATATATATATATATATATATATATATATATATATATATATTAACAATATTATGCTCCATTAAATATTGAATTTTTTTTTTAAAAAAAAAATGCTAAAGAACTGTGGATTCTAAATCTGTTTGTTCTTTCTCTTCATTTGTGTATATATATATATATATATATATATATATATATATAT